TATTCTACCTGTTAAAAAGTGGGTAGATGGCTGGTCACGGAACCTAATCTTGAAGTTTGGAGAATGGATCTCTTATCTTGAGGTAATTCGAGGGCTTTCGACACGGCGATTGGGGTAATACTTTCCCTAATTAATTAATGTTCACCTGGAGAAGGTTTTACATTTGTGTTAATGCCTAATGCGTTTGAGGGGAAATAGTTCCGTTGATATGGAATGGTATTTACTTTGCGTTCCATGGCTTGGGGTACATTAATTTATGTCTGCACTGAGAAAGAAAGTTAACTCAATATGCAACGCAACAACAAAATCCTGCGATCAAGTACATCCAAAGAAATGTCCGATTGAGTAAACAAAATTCGTTTAAATCAACGTAGATTTTTCTTCTCAACGATACAATTGTTTCTTGCAAGTATGTATTATTTAGACAACAGTATACATGTCAACAATATATATTTGTTTTAGTCAATTGAACTTTTTTTTCTCAGTTGGATTCGATGGTCTGATCCACAAAGTGTTTCCCTCCTTTCAAGCTCCCTCCCTCGGTCTTCGAGGCGATCATCGGTTCTGCCTCGAACTTCCACCGCCGTGAAATCCTTCAATCCTGTGTAAACGCATTGTCTCAACATAACTCCCCGCTTGTATTTCGCGGATCGACGTTGGTATTTGAGTTTGACTATGAGTTCGCGCTAATTAACTTATCAGCAGAACCAATATCGGGCCCGCGAAAATTCTGAACACGTAATTCGAGCATAATACAACATCTACCACCCGGGACTCGTTGAGAACTGAAATTCAGTACAGAGGAACAAATTTTAACGTCTTACTTCGAAATATTAGGGGTAACCGTAAGTAATGAATTTTTTTTAACGTCTAAAACACCTCTTTCAAAATAATTGATTACTTATGGGTACCCCTAACATTTTCATTCGATTCCCGTAAAGCGCGTTCACGTACGAATAACTACGTTTATACCGAAAATTATTCTCTATGCCTGAATAAAAAAAAATTCAACCGTTTAATTTATTGATATCGTTACTGGTTCTATTTCTTTTTTTTTGCAATACTTCCTGATCCGTAGATAGAGGAACGAGGTCTTCGACGCGAGGCCGTCGAGCTTCCGTCCCGACGGAGTGGATTCCGCGACTAATCGACGGTCTTCCGTTAATCCGTTTACGGGGTATAATACAGCGATCGAATAAGTGAGGGGGGATTCGGAGTGCATTAAACGCGCGCACCACCATGGAACCCGAGGAGGTTAGGATCGAGGTCCGAGCGAGGTCTGCGGGGTCGAGGATCCGCCGGGAGGGTGTCGAGCCTCATTAGACACCATGGGAGCCCCATACGTCGACCCCACTTGGGGTCGCCCAGGGGGACCCGCCAACTTCGCGGGGGAACCGGAAACTAACGACGTTACCGTACTTCCATCCTGGCTGTACTTCCGACCACTTCATTCCTGGCCAGAAATTTTCCCTACCTTCGAAGGACTTCGCAGGTTCCGTGGGCCCTTTAATGATTTTACTAATTTTTCCGGAAGTCGAGCCCCTTCGAATGGACGGAGGGTGGAAACCGGAAGCCGGACAGCTCATTGATCTACGAAATATTCCCGAAATTGTTCCTCCCGATGTAGAGTTAGTTCAATTTGAAGACTCATCAATGCAGTGAGTTCTTGTTCAAATGATTCATTTTTTAGAAATACTTTCAACTTGGTCAACTTAGTTCGGAACGTCTAAGATAATGTTCAGGATATTTATCGAAAAGGAGTGAATTCTTTGTATTGGAGGTCGGATAAAGAATCTCGGATCGATACAAATATTTCTCATCTGCCCTGAAGTCGTGTACCAAGTTAAAATAGATGTTCTTTAAATTCGGGCCAAATCCAAATCTTTCATAAAAATATTGTCTTGAATCGTAAGGGCTTTCTGTATGTTTAATTTCGGCGGGGAAAAAATAATTGGATATGTTAAAGCAACTTTGGGAAGAATGCTGGTTCCCTTGATATCAGGGAGAGGTCATTTATCATAGGATTCGCTTATAGCATGGACGTCATGGAGGATCATAAATACAATAAATGGAAATCATATTTAAAGAACATTTGGTTGAATAAATGACACCGCTTCTTCCGAGTGAACATCCGGCCCGACTATTCTCGCCGAGGGAGGGACTTTTCGACTTCCCTTGGAATTTTCCGGGAACCCTCCTACGGGAACCCTCCTCTGCGGGAACTTTCCAACCCCGGTTTTCACTTTCTCGGATCGATCTCTCTCTCTCTCTCTCTCTTGCTTTCACCCCCTGCTGCGAGGACAACGTGATGTGAATTTCACTGGGAAATCGGGGATGCTGGGCGAGTTCCTCCGGAGTGTCGCACCGCGAGGCGTGTCTACCGATCCTGGCCTTGGCTCTTTCTGGGCAAATTTCGTCAATTTCGAAAGTATTCCCCCGTCTTTTTTCTTCTTTACCCGTGACGCGGGTTGATATCCATCGGGAGTCTTGATTCGATTTCTCGAACTGAGCAGACACGTCGGAGCATTTCGACGAGTTTACGATTCACGATGAGGGAAGAGGAAAATATTTGAAATTGTATTTATCCTTAAGATATACTTACTTGAAATGCTTACAATTTATCATATTTGCCGTGGAGTTTCTACTCGCGACACTTGACATCGCGTTCTTCTCCTGTCTTTCAATTTATTTCTTTAAATTAATTTTCTCGAAAAAGACGTTACGACGTCTCTTCTGGCCTGCTACATTGAAGTACATTCCTCTGAATTTAATTACTCGAATGGCCCTTCTTTTTGTTTTTAATCGGATACTTCAATTTTATTGTCCGTGAAATCTCTCTATCGAGAGTTATCCTTTCGGTAGGGGTGAAGTTTCCCCTCTTCGATTTATACATCTCTGGTTTTACCGCGTCCAGGGAAAACGTGGGTCGGTAATTTCACTATTGGAGTCTGCTCGCGTAATTACCGATGCGTGTAGAAGGCAGAAATGCCGAATGACCCGTGAACAGGAGGTGGAGTTCATTTGTCTGGCGTTAATGATGTTTATGGTTCGCGGCCTCCAGGGACTTCGGGCCGAGTCGTTAATCATGACAAATTCGTCATGATTAATATGCTTTTCGCCCGATTAGCTCGGCGGCATCATCGCGATAGTAATCTTCGAACCGACAGGTGAATTTCTCATTTTCTTCTTCAACGAGCCTACCCCTTCGGCTATCTCGACAAGGCACGCGTAACCTTCTCATTTAACGAACGCTTGTAAACGTTAACAATCTAATTAACGTGAAGAAAAAAAAAATTACAAGTCTACAAGAGTGGTCACGCTAACCTCTGCCAGGCAAATGAATGGTCATCAACGCGTATAAAAAAAATGTAGATGAATTGTGAAGTTAAACATACGTCTGATAGCGATTTAATAATGACAATGAATTTCAGGAAATAAAAACTTTGGCGAATTGAAAGAAATATAATTTACTTGGAAGGAATACGTAGAGGCGAACTAGTACTCTTGCCGAAAACGTCACATTTTAGAGTAAAAGAAATTCTTTTGTCGAATAGATCATTGCTCACTATTATTAACAAAATGAGATCAACGGAAATTAAGGCAAATTGCAAAGAATATTCACCTTTTTTTAAGCTAAGATTCATCAAGTCTGACTCGTTATCGTTACATTGTCTGTGCATAAACGTGTTAGAAAGAAAAGTTGATTCACTTCAAAGAATGAAAGGATTAATATTCTCAATACTGGAGACAAATTTTCTACCCGAAAGCCTTTTCGCAAAAACCAGTCTCTTTCGGCGAGAAACATTTAGATTGCCGCACATAATTAATTTACCTTAGAAATTACACTTTCGGCTCACAATTAGTGTAGACAATAAAATTCACTCGGGAAAGTATCAACAAGAGGGTCTCTGATTTTGGGGGATTTTTCGCTTTTGAAATCCATCGTTTACGTGAAATTGCCGACTTTTTCCGACGACGCGGGAGGTCAGAGCGTTTTTGCATTGTAAAGCGACGAGGGGTTGGGAGGAACGAGTGCATCTGCCAAAAGGGGTGGTTGGGATTGTTCGCCGATGTGTTGGCAGCCTGCAAGGTGTCACTTGGTACCTCGGTCACGTACCTCCTCGTATTGACAGCCCGGCCAACCAGCCAGTCCTCCTCTCTTTGGATCCTTGTTCCTGGGTCAGCCAGGCCGAGCTCCAGGACTTCGATTTTCCCGGATTCCCCTCGGATTTTGCTCCTTTCCTGCCTCCTTTGCTCCTCCTCGCCGGGGATGACCGTATCGAAATCGGACACGCGCCTTTAAGCGCCGATTATGTGCCTCGCGTAAGCGCCTTAACCAAGAGGAAGAAAGGAAAAAGGAAATCCCCTCAAGGATATCGATCCAGGAGGAGCGAAGGGGTTATCCTTTACTCGATATACATATATCTAGGCGTTTTAATAAATATCTTTTGGCAATCGATGCGCGATTTGAGGCTAGGAATTAATTCTACTTGCCTGGCGCGAAGATGAATGGAGGCTTGTGGCTTGCCGTGTTAAGTTTCCTCCAAGTCCGATGTTTTTATCATTTACCAACGACTGCAGTTTGGCCGTAGCCTGTAATTGCGCGGTGATATATAAAATGTAATTTATGGTAGTACAAAGTTTGTTAGCACGAGCCGAGTCACGAACTTCTTGAGTGAACGGACGTGGATGTGCCCACCGGAGCCAACTCTCGCCCCGTTTATGAATCTATAAAGCAGCATGTCCAATTCGCAATGCGAGTGCAAGTCACGTCACGTCAACGGTGCCTTTTTTTTTCCGTCTTGCCGATTTCACGGTCAATCATGAAGATTTCTATCTTCGTGCACTCACGGTAAAGCCGAGTTTCCGCACGCAGCCGGAGTCCCGCAAATCCTCGCGCACAATTTTCGCGATCTCCTCGCGACAGTTCCGTATCCCTTTAAATCCATTATTTTTCACGTAACTTTTTAGAAGAACTTATCGATTTCTATCTATTTCAGGATTACAGCAGTGATGTTAGAGCGATGAGCCTGCAGGCTCAAGGCCAGCGCACGGTGAGGTACTCTCCTCAGGAGACCGTCAAGGTGAGCGGAATACATTTTTCTTATTGAAAATGAACAAAAATGGGAGAGTAACGAATAAATAGGAAAAAAACCCTCCGGCGATTCTTCAATACAGCAGTCGACGAAATAAGGCAATCAGCTCTGTATTTCAGCGCGTTAATGGTTTCCTGAAATCGAGTGGTTGGTTTGGTTTAACCCCTGCCGGTGAGGGTGTACTCGGGGGGTGTCTTTTTTTACGAAAGCAAGGGACCTTTAAAAAGCGCCGTAATTAACGTGGTGAGTCTCTGCCGTGGGATGGGGCCCCGTATCGCGGCCGCAATTTACCCCCCTGGGGGGTGGTTTAATACCCCCGCTCCCTTAGCCCCGCGTCTCGCGGGGCGCTTTGCATTTCCGCGAAGCGGAATCTTTTCGTCGGCAGGAGGCCGCAAAGGATCCCCGCAGGATCCTCCTGCGGTGGACCGAGGAGTATTTTTCTCGGCGGGCATCCTACGAGGGGTGAGCTCTCCGCGTCGAGGGCGAAACAGTTGCGGTTTTCGCCGGGCTCGGCCAGGCTGCGGGGGAGCCGCTGCGGAACGGCCGGAGGTGAGAGATTTCGGCTGCGGGGTGGCCACGCCCCTGCCATGAGGATGAGATGATACCGTCGTTCGGTATCTTCCGCAGCATCCGAGCCCCTGGACCGCCCTCGGGTGAGACGCGTCCTTCCTGAGATGATTAGAGATGAAGATAAAGATAAAGATAGAGCCAATGTCGGAGGTAAAGGCAAAGACAATGCCGCCCCTTCTAACTCACCCCGCACCCCCGGGTGTCAGGGCACCTTAAATTGGGTTACATTTGTGAATACGACCTCCCCTAATCTCGGATTTCTAATTTCAGAGTGTTTGTTTAAATTAAGCGCTATTGTTCGCGTGATTTGAGAGGGTTAAGGTGATATGAAAGTGGTATCCGAGGGTCTCGTTTATGAAACTTTCTCCCGAACTGGGTGTACCGAAACGTTTGAAGTTTTACCACCTGAACAAGGGGATCCTAAAGATGGCCCTGAGCCTCGTGATATTTCATTCTCTTTTCAATTTCTTTATAAACACCTTTTACATTTTTGTATAAAAAATGTTATTTCATGCTGTCGGGGCCTTTCCTAAGGCCTCCACATTCACGTGGAAAAATTACGAAATATTTGGTACACCCAGTTCGGAGGATAATTTCATGAACTATTTATCCTTTAGACGTCACTTTCATGTTATGGAGGAAAACGAGATAATATCGCAGCTGGTATATTTTTTTTTGTTCGGGTTAATTTATACAGTTTAAATAAATACATCCGACAGAATCGATTAGTCAGGGTGAGTTGGGAGGATGTTAACGAAGAACAGGATGGGGGTAGTTATGTCCTTGTCGAGGGGATGAGGTGATACCGTTGTCGGTATCTTGCGGAGCTTTCGGGCACCCTGGACCACCCCCAACGGGCGCGTCCTCCCACCTCGTCGAGCATCCCTCAGCTCCCCGGATAATTAAAGATACAACGTCTTCCCCTCTGACTTTTGCTCCACGCCCCGAGGTGTCGGGAGACCCCAAATTGGGTTACGCCCGTGAAATCTTTCCCTGAACTTCTTGATCTGTCTTTTGGAAAAGTTGTATCCCCATATATTGTACCCATATATTGAGGGTACACTGAGAACAGAATTTTTTTTTTCAAGGAAATTATTTTCTCGATAGAGTTAAAGCATAAAATCAGAGAAATATAGTCTTCACTACAAAAATGCCGAATGTTTAACTCTAATGCATTTCACTGATCGAATACTTCACATCTTAAAATAATAAAATAAGAAATCGAAACTCTACGTTTCTTTAACTCCATTCGAAGAAATAATTTTTTTCAAAGAAATCATTTTCTTTGAATCACAGAAATTGTTTCTCTCAGTGTAAGGGTGTGCGTCAAGGGTTGGATATTCGATTTAGAATAGAACATGTTCCCACGGAAAACGACGATTTCTTTTTTTTTTTAAGTGGGAATCTTTAAAGAATGCGCTCTAATAATGTTGATGTTATACACGCTCTTATAAAGGAGGAAATAATATCGTTTAATTCTATAACGGAAAAGCTCTCATTTGAATATATGGAGAGAGGTTTCGCTACGAAGGAGGGGGCCACGTTTATGAGTATCTCTCGCAGTAAGATAACCGCCTTGGACCATCTACTTCCTCCTAGTCGAGCATCCTTCAACCCCGTGGATAATTAAAGATACAGCACCTTCCCCTCTGGGTCGTTCCATACCCGGAGGTCTTGGAACCCCTCCAAATTGTCTGGCGCTCGTGAATTTGACTTCCTGATTCCTGTTTTCTTGTCCAGATTTTCCAAAAGTTCTGACTCTTGAGCATGGACAAAAATATGTATTAAAGTAAATTTCAGACATAAATTGCGTTAAAAAAAAAAGTGAATACTTATCAGCGAGAGATTAAGATGCAATTGTTGAAAGACATCTAGTAAAAAGTGATGAAAAGAAAAGGGAATAAAAAGAATAATTTGTTCGATGCTTCGAGGAGAAGGAACAAAAAAGTTCATTTATCGTCATGGCGGGTGGTTAAGAGTAATGTTTTATTCATTCGGTTTCCCTTTCCACCCTTCGGCTCCTCGAAATTTCCGTGAAACTTGACTCTGATCTAGCCGGGATTTTTGGACTGTTTGGAGAGAAAACCGTGCACATGAAGGTAAAGAATAAAGTTTACCCTGACGCTCACGAGGGGAGGGCCGGTGCTCAATTGGCTTACGCCTGCGGTATTTCATCCCTCGGGTTGCAAATTCACCCCTCGCCGGTTCTCATCCCCCTCGGGCTTTTTCTGGATATACGTAAAAATATGTATCGCTCATAGAACACAGAACTTTTGCCGTTCCATGGAATGCACCGTGGATATTCTTATCATTCGTGATTCAGGATTTTATCCCTTAATCGCTGAAAGTAGTTAAATGCAAAAGACCCACCCCTTTTACGCTATTATTTAAGTATTTTAATGCTATTAAAAGTGCGATTATGTTCAACGTGCAACTTCAAATTACACTGGCTAAGTACATTTTTTTTTTCTGAGAACTAGTGATAGGCCAGGAAATTGTAAAACGAAATCTTGCCAATTTACAAAGGAAGTACAAAGCAAACGGGGAAAGTGCAGAGATTTCCTCTGCCCGAAGTGGCTAGTCGTTGGGTAGGTCTATCGGGTGGTAAATCGACTCGCTAATCTCGAGACGTCAGCCCTCCCTCGATGCACCCTGGATGGTTTTCAGATACGTTGTTATCACAGGGGTGGAAAACTGCCCGGAGACTTCGAGGAGTCGGCGGCGATAAGGGAGCTTTTTCTCGCTCTCGAATTTTCCGGCTTTCCGCCCCCGAGGTGCTCGGCGCTCTCCCCTAATCGAAGATTGATATTAGTCCTTAACTCGGGCTGTATGGCCTGTCGAACGGTACTATTAAGGCCCGACTTCCTTAAGGGAAAGATTCCGTTCCTCGTTGGAGATAAAAGAAGACGAAGGAGCGGAGTTCTTCCCTCCTATCTCCGTTACAAGGAAGATATAAAATAAATTATGTCGCGGACGTATTCAAATCTTAAATTATGAAATATCGCGGGAGAACGTCGTTCCTTCTCCACCGGGTAATTTTATTCCGCTGATAAAAGTATCGTCAAGTATCACTCATTGGGTAATCACGTTTAAGAAGAGAAAAGTAATCGCGTACACCGCCATTGCAGAGTATAACAATGCAACCGATTTTTTTTTGTAATCTTCGATAAAAGAAGTCTCACCTGCTTCCTAGTCGTAGTGGTATTGCGAGGTCACCAATAAGGAAATAAATGAATATATTAGTACGAGGGAAGGGGGACCGATGTAATTTAACGTAAAGTAAATTCGCTGCGGAAAGTAATGCGTGAAATATTTAGGAATTCAATCAGATTTAGAAACGCCCCCGCGTGGCGAAAGGTGGCCATTCCGCGGGGGGTGTTATTTCGTCCCGGTCTTCCATAGTTACCCTTGGAAGGCGAATTTAAAGGAACCCCAGGGTCCAGGAGGTGGTTCCTAGAGCCGAAGGAGAGCCGCGGGAGTCCCTCTAAGGGGCCCGGGACTTCCAAGGCCGCCCTCCTGGAAGAATTGAGAATCGATACCGGGGGAGAGTTTCTGCAACTTAGCTCGGGCAACCCCGGAGGAGGGACCCGGAGCTGCTAGAATTCAGGGGTTTCGGGATATTTATGTGGCAGCAGCTGTAGCGTCGGGAGTACACCCTCTGCCGGAGTGCGCCCTCTCCCGCGGGACTCCTCCCGGATCCCCGGGCTCCCGAAATTCGGGCGCAACGACCTCCTGGAGGTGGACGTTCTCCAGGCTGGGATTGGCCAGCCTCCGAGGCTCCGCCAATTACCGAGCTTTTCCCTTGAAAAGGAAAACACGTTTTTCATCGGGGACACCCCCAAATCGTGATAACCATTCTACTTTTATGAAGGAAAAAAGGAAAAGAAACATTTCAGAGATCTGAGAAGATTGTGACAATCTGGGAGGGTTTCATCTTCACTTAAATCTTAACGATTTCGGGCTGATTTCAAAGGTTGAGATATTACGTCCGTGAATTAAATCTTGGGGATGTATAAATATTTCAGAGACCCGATTATGAAGATTTGGGGGTGTCGTCGAAGATCGAGAAGTCGAATCGGTAAAATACATTTTAGATTAAAGAGCGTAGGCTAACCCCTTGATTCCAGGGGCGGGGGGATAACTAGTCATCTAGGCAAAGGGGTGGCGTTAGAGGGCTTGCAGCTGCAACCCTTTCCCGGGGCTTCAAGGACCGGATCTCGACAAGGACTCCCTGCAACCCGGGTTTCGCACCTCCCCTCGCGTTCTCCAGAGTCTCCTCCCCGTGCTGATAAGCTCCCGTGATAACATACGCGTTACACCCCCGCTTCGGATGCGTTAAGGGCATTATCAGCGGAGAGCTTCTTAATTGGTCGGGGCTAATGAGGGCGGATATTCGGGAGTGGACGCGATCGCCGGAG